AATTTTCTTTCTCTTCTAGGGGCTACACAATGGCAGTCTTCTCTCAGTGAGATGAATCCTGCTTTGCCTTGGGCAGACCCACCCATCCTCATAGCGATCAAGTAAAAGGCTATGGTTTTCTCTTTGGGGATCTTTTGTGCATTACCGCTCTCCCTGATTAGTTCTGGTCTCAGTTGGGATTTCTTGGCTTTTTTGTTTGTCTTCATGCTGAAAAAGGATTTTTCCCCCAACCCTTTTGTAAGCATCCAGTGGTGAACGCGGGGGACAAACCATTCACCCTGGCCGAAAAAAAACAATCACTGAGAAGTCTCAAAGAAATATACCACGTGAGGGGAAAAAACTGGGAGAAGATTCGGAATATTATCGTTTTTCCTATGGTAAAAACGGTGCCCCTCTTCAGAAGAACTGATTTCAAATTATTATTATGCAACCACGAGGATCTCTTCTTTCTCAGGGTGTCTAAGCTGCTGGATTGCTTTTCGCCTAAATCAATGTGGTTTCTTTGGAACATTTTCAGCAAAGGAACGCATATGCTGCAGTGTCTTTGTGGCAAGAGTCTTAAGAAAAACAAGAACCCAACTGGTAAGCAAAACATGCATCATGTTATGCCTTTCCTCATAATAACCTGTCTGTTGCTCACTGAGATAGATCTGCAGTTCTGCTATGCAGGAAGGCAGGGGAAACAGGAAAGGAGCCAGGACGGTGTTGCATATAGAGCGAGAGGTGTTGCATGGATAAACAAGGAACAGCTGGATCGGCGCCTGTGCGCCCCAAACCCTCATCAGCCTCCCTTGGCCGCGACACAATCCATTACTAGGAGGGAGGAGGAAACTTTTTTTTTTAAATGTATTTGATTTCTTGTGTTGGGGGATTATCGATGGGCTATGGCTAAAGGTTTTGCCCCAGGCAGCTGAAGCTTCCGTAGTTGGCCAGGAAAAGGGATCGCGAGCTCCCCTTACTTCTGCTGCAGGTTCGCGGACGCAGCTCGGTGCCGAGAGCCCACTCGAGACTTTCTGATTAGCTTGCACAACATTCGCCACCCGGATCACCTTTGCCGAAGTAAAAGCGGCCCCCCTCCTCGCCGCCCCGCTCCTCCGTCAGCCCCCGCCTCCCTCTCGCGTCTAGCTCGCGGCGCCGGAGTATTAACTCATTCCCCCGCCTGCTTCCCCACCCCTCCAGCCTCCGGGGACGCGGGAGCGGGGGTTATGCCTGCAGGGAACCCCAGACTGGGAAGACCAGCTCTGCCCCTCGAGTCCATGGCATTTAAATGCCCCCTCGAAAAGCAGAATCAAAGCCCAGCGCCTGGGTGCTGCGGGTGGGATGCGCCGGGCGGTGGGTCCTTGCTTCAGCCTCTCGGAGACCAGGCGCCCCCATTCCGAAGGCTCCAACTGGAAAACTTGCAGTACATTACATAAGAAATGCAAATGCAGGTGGTTCCGGGAGTCGGGTCCCGGGGCTCAACTTCCCCGCATCTCCCTCTCAGGCGTTTGGGGGCGGCCGTGGAGCTGTCCGCTAACCACCCGGGGGGCCAGGCCGGAGGGCTGCGTGGTGGCGGCGGCAGAGCGCCGGCGAGGAGGTGGGGCGCTGCGGGGCCAGGAGCCGCGCGCGCCGACAGCGGGGGTGTGTGGTGTCCCCCAGCTCGGTCAGGCTGGGAGGGCCCGAGCGCGAGCGATGGTGTCCTGGCCAGTGTCGGGGGGCGGGGGCGGGGGCCCCGCGGTCCTGCAGTGGCGGCCGGGGCGCCGGAGGCTACCGACGCTGGCGGGGTAGTAGATTATGGCTCCCCGCGGCCAGCCTGACACCCAGAGCTCCGCCGGGGGCCGCGCTGGCATCGGAACCCCAGCGGCTGGGCAGCAAGTGGCTGCGGTCTCGGTCTCCCCAGTCTCGCGGGAGAGCGGAGCTGGGGCGGCGCGCCCCGAGGGGGCTGCCGCCTGCGGGTCCCCGGGAGCCTGAGCGCGAGGAGGAGGAGGGAGGGAGGG